ATATAAATTTTTATAAAGATAATAATTAGGTATTCTATTAGTTTAATAACGAATCAATTTACTTTTGCTCTAATAATAAAATTTTTTATAAAAATAATAATTAAGTATTCTATTAGAACTCAATGCTTATCCTAATTATATTTTAGATCTTTTACATTTAAAATGAGATGTTTATCATGTATATGATTATGTTTATCTGCGGTTAGTTACAAGAATTCAAAGATGGAGGTTTAATAAGTTGTACTTGTGCACAATTTACTTGTAATCTTGAATTTTAAGTAATATGCATCAATAAACAGTACTTCATGTATAAAAAATGGTTTTTAAAAGTTTTTGTCAAATGATTGATAAAATAACTAAAAGGGTACCTGCAAAATGCAGCGAGATACATCTCAATTTTAATGTTTTGGTTTTTTTTTTGTCTCGGTCGATGTTATAATACAATTTTAATAAAACGATAATGTTTTTATTTTTGAATAAAATATAAATATGAAGATATATCATAAAAAATTGAATAAAAAATATTGATATTAATATCAAACTAACAATTTAAAATTTCTTCTTTTTTGTGTATTTATTTAATTTACTTTTTTATTTTTGGTTTAATAATATAATTTTTATAAAGATGATAATTAAGTATTTTATTAGAACTCAACGATTAGCCTAATTATATTTTAGATTTTTTATATGTAAAATGAGATGTTTATTCTTTATTTGATTATATTTATGTACAGTTAGTTACACGAATTCAAACATGAAGCTTTAATAAGTTGTACTTACACACAATTTATTTGTAATCTTGAATTTTAAGTAATATGTATAAATAAACAGTAATTCATGCATAAAAATGATCGATTAAGGTTAATTGATTAAGAAACGTTATTGTTGAGGGTTTGAAAACAATAAAAGGCAAATAAGAGATTTGTTTACCTTTTACCAGATAAGAGGGTATAATAAGACATAAATGACTCTGAAAAATTGGAAAAAACAAACAGTTTGAATGATTTTACTTCTTAACGAATCAGACATAAAAGACTAATAAGAGTTTTTTTAATAAAAACAAACAAGGTTTTACTAGTTAAGAATTTTCCAATTTAAAAAACTTTGCATATAGAATATATGAGTTGAAGAACCAAGAAGTAATTAGGTGCATCATGAGAGGTAAGACCTCTTAATTCTCATGATGCACCTAATTACTTCGTGGTTCTTTTATATATATATATATATATATATATATATATATTGATGATTGTAAACATAATTCATCTTTTATTTTTATATAATAAGATTTGTTTTGTAAAAAATAAGGTCACCCAAATCAGATAACTTTATCATCCAATCTTTCAATCCCTCACCAATGTGAGATATTTCGAACTCAACTACAATTCACCAACATCTCAATAGCTAATTCTCATGATGCAACATCAGCACCTCTTCGTTCTTCTTTTAATATATATATATATATATATATATAATTATTTTGAAATCATATTAATTTTATATGACTAGTCTTTAGTTATTTTTTCAAATCATAATAATTTTATAATATAACAAGTTTTCTACTAAAAAGTATTTTATTATCTTTAATTTATATCAAAAATGTCTTAAATTATAATCATATCGACTAAAAATACAAAAAAATGAGTACTTTACTATCTTTAATTTATATCGATATATTTGTTTAAATAATTGTTTTTAATGTTTTTGTATGTAATGGGTATATGTATGTGTATGTATATATGTAAATAGTAATATGTATTTGGTAGGCAGTGTGACATACTTACTATTTAGGACACAACATCCGTCGTCTTCTCAACACGTGACAATTGCAATAGTGCATGTTAATGGTAATCATTACATAAAGGTGGTATTAAATGAAGAATATCCAATTTCCACATTTACGCACAATTGGACACATTATCGTCTTCAAGAAGTACATAGATATCGTACCAACATAGATTCAATGTGTATGAAGAATATATAGAGCGTAATCTTACTTGTGAATATGTTAATTTAACATGAAAAATCAAAGTTTTTAAGATATTATAATTTATCGTAATACATTTGTATACAAATAGATAACCAAAAAATATGTCGTAATATTTTATTAATTAATAAAATTTAATTTATATTTGAAATATGTATTCTTAATATTTTATTAATTAATAATAATATAAAATTAATTTATTTATATAATTACAATACAAATTAAAAATTAAAAACATAAAAGATGTAATAAAAACATATTAAAAAAAACTAAAGGGTTAAAAGTTAAAATATCAAAAGGTTAAAATTAAAAATATTTGTTTTTGGAATTTAGTTTTTTTTTAATAGGAGGAGGTGTATAAATATAGACAAAAAGTTTTACGAGGGGGTGAGATTAAAATAAGCCTATTAATATATGTGAACAGAAAGTACTAAATAGGGGTGCATTTAACATTATGCAAGGGTATAATTTATATTTTTTTATATTATTATTATGGGTTGGGTTTACGTGAGATCAAATATTTTTTGTGAGATTCATTCATGTTCATTGATCAACATTATAAGCTAATGATCTAATGGTCTAAAGTTGTACGGTGACAATTTTGTGATTATTGAGAATTCTCATATCAATCTTGTGATTATGAATGTTCAGATTGTAAATCTAATTCAATATTTGAGGATTACGAAAAATCTTTATTCTCATGTGATCTTAAATCTTATTATTATTATTATTATTGACATATTATAATAATTATACCTTCCCCTAACCTTAGCCTATTGAAAGATGGGGAAAATATTCCTCGGGGGCCATGGATGTTACGAAACTAATTCTAGTTTTATAATAAAGACTCTAACCAACTTACACTCTGTCTTTTACTCCAGGGTTCTTTCAACTCGCAGATCGGGAACACTTGTAATGATTTGATGATTTTTTTAAAGAAACAACAGGTCAAAAAATCGATTTCTGGAATACCCAATTGCAATTTTTTCAGTGTCAGTAGTCTTCGAGATGAACGACGGTTTAATGTTCAGGATAAGACTCCTGCTCCAATCTCGTTCAGGTTCTGCTACTGCTTTTTGGTTCTTTCTCGAATTTAATCTTTGTTTTGCTTTGAATTTGAACATTTGATCTTGTTTACTGAATTATTGGCCTTCTAATCGTGGATCGTTCTTAGAATCCTTAGCGTTTTGTCAATTTTGATGAAGAATTAGAGGATTATGACAGATCGTCTATGTGTTTCTAACTGTTGGAATTGAAAGTTCTATGGGTTTTCTGACCCAAAATCATTCACATGGTTATGAACTTATGATGCATGAATCCAGATTTACCTGTTCTTGTATGATTTGGCATCGTTTGACTTTTTGTTGGTCAAACAACCCATTCCAGGGATTCCAAAATAGTCCAGATTTATTGAACATTTGATCATTGAAAGCCATGTCATATCTCTAAAAGACAACTGTTGTATATGTCTACAGAAAACTGTGTTATATGTCTAAAGAAACCTGCATTAATTCTTGAATCCTAAAATTGACTTGTTTGACCTTAAGGTCAGAATGTAGTCTCTAAATGCTCAAGGGGGTTGCTATTGAACAATCAGTTTCAGGTCAACTTGTTTCTTTCAAGAAACTGAAGAACAATGAATCACTTAATTTGCTATCCTTCAGATTGTGGGTAACTCTTAGAATCTTATATTTTTCATCGTTAGTTCAAAAAAGTTTGACCATAATTATATATAGATGATGACAGATCTACCATGTGTAGAGAAATGAGTTTTCTCTGTTAATATTGAGAATCCTGAAACACCATGGTAATGTGAGCGAGTGTCATAACATCTCAGGCTGACCTTACCAGATATTGTTCCCACCTGGACTCACGGTTAAGGGCAACCTTAGTTCCCTCCCCAACCGATGTTGGATCTTACAATCCATCCCCCTTGGGAGCTCAACGTCCTTGCTGGTACCATTTGTAATCTTGAAGCTTTCAAAACGATAGTAATTTAGTACTTAAGATCTATCTATTCTTGTTTCTTCTCAGAATAGTATATCCCTTCCATGGGGTCGAAAGAATACAACCATTTGTGGACCAGAAGTTCTTTTGGATTTCGGATTACTGAAGATCTATTTAAATGTCGATGATTGAAAGTTTTATATTTTATACTTTTCCTGTTTTCTTCCATGTCCAAAGACGCCCGTATTAATTCTTGAATCTTGAAATCTTGTTCCCTAAAAATCCGAATGTTGCCTCTAGTTGTGAGATGGAGAGATTGGTTATCAAACAGTTTCCCATTTTATTGCTTGCATATCCATAGTTTCTTTTGGCAGAAACATGAACTATTTGATCTCTTATTGCTTTAAGTAACATCAAAATCTTTGATTAAGTAGGATCAAGTAATGAACAAGGGTCATTTTCTTCAAATTTTAATATTGGGTCTACTTGTAGAAACCTGTATTCTTAATTAGCTGGTAACCAGTAACTTTTCTTTTTAGTCCCAGTAATTTTCTTGCGGCGCTTCTCTTATAAGGACATAAAGCGGGCAACGGATAGTTTCAGCAGAGTTATTACGACTTCTTCTCATGGGGCTTCTTATAAAGCCAGGTTTCAAGGTGGTCATGTTGCTGTGGTAAAAGAAATACATCTTATTGGTCAAGAAGACGATCATATCTTCTATAGGGAGGTGCAACTCTTAGGACGTTTGCATCATCGCCACGTTGTTGCACTTAATGGATATTCCGTAGGACAAAAAAGGTACCCGAATCCTGTGAAAATTGTTTGTATTTCTTTATCAAACAATAAACTAAATGTTAATGTGTATTAAGAACTTAAAGATATCTTTATTATATTGCTGCCATTTTAGCATCTTTACCAATCAACTGTTTTATTTTGAAGCTTGTAATGATCGATGGATGCCCTTGAGGCAAAGGCCACTTGGTTAATCACAAATTTTGACTTATCTTACAACGTCTTGATCTTTTGGTAAACATGGGTATCTGGGGGCCGAAGTTAATAGTCGGTCAAACCCTTTAGTGGCCTTGAGGGGGCTTGAACCGGTGACCTCTGGGGAGCAAGCCCAAGATCTTACCAGTTGAGCTACCCCTCAGGGTTGTGTCTTGATCTATTACAAGTCATTAGAAGATTTTTGGTGAACTTTCTTAGAATGCCGTTTACTCAAATGCTTACCCGGTAAGCGCTTACCTGGTAAGCGCTTACCTGTAGGAGTCAACATTATAATTTATTTACCGGGTAAGATTGTAGTACATCAAAACGGTATCATATACAACAATTTACCCGGTAAGCGTTTACTCGGGTTAGACCCTCCATCCTTATCATTGCTCTTACCGGGTATGACTATCGGCCCTTACATGTTCATCCGGTAAGAAAAATTACCCGGTAAGCACTTACCGGATAGGCATTTAGTAAACGGCCCCTTACTCCATTTTTTTGATAGGTATAGGTATAGCATAGAAGATTTCTTTTTAATTTGTGTTAGGATTGAAGACTTCTCCAAGATTTCTTGAAATTTATCCATTACATTAACCATAAGCCTTCTGGCTTGTCATGCTTCTCTTTCAGGTTTCTCGTGTTTGAGAACGTAGAAAATGGAAGCCTCAAGGAACATCTGAATGGTAACTCCTGTTGCAGATATTATTTCATTTATATTGGACTCGATTTCTTGATGATATTTAGTTACATGTAGATCCTTTGAGGACCCCTTTGGATTGGAGAATCAGGCTAAAGATAGCTGTTGGTGTGGCTGCAGCATTAGTAAGTTTTGTAGTTTGCACTTTTTTATAGAATTTCCTAAAATTTTCATTGAAGCATCATCGCGTTTGCGTCCTTTGCCTATACCCTTTTTTTTCACTTTCATCCCCTAGCTATTCTGCATTGTTCCGTTAAGGAGATTAATCTAAATAAAACTTAGAAGCATTCGATTTTTGCTTGTTTCTGTATGAATGAGCCTGTAAAACAATTGATAAACAACCACAAGGGTGATGTCTGATTGGTTTGAGCTTGGCTCCAAAGGTCAAAAGTACCAGGAGGTCCCAGGTTCAAATCCAAGAAGGAATAAAAATCCCCTTGTGGCCACGGAGGTTCAAATGCGGTGACTCCGGGCTAAATGGCAAAGCAGGTGGTCACCCTGGGATTAGTCGGCTCGTATAGCGGGTTGGATATCTAGGTTAATAAAAAAAACAAATGAGAAACCAAAAAGATTGTACACCTGAACAAACCGATGCACTTTCAGATATACGTAAAGATCTCTAATGTTCTACATACCTCTTCCTGGAGCCAAGGTAAAAGGCTCCTTTAACTGCTGTGTTTGCATCTCTTCTCTTCAAATTCATTTCAGCATGTTTGACAACTATAAGATAGCTTATTTCTTGAGCTTATTGAAAAAGTACCGTTTGGTTAGCCATGAACTAGTCCGAGTTCTCCTTAGGGCCACCACGGATTTTTCTTGGTTGTTATCTTAAGGGCCCCATGGAATTTGTCGAGGAGCGTGTAAGCTGGCCTGGACACCCATGATTAACAAAAAAAGAAAATAGTTGATAAGCCAACTTTTTGAAAGGCTACTTCATGTAGCGTTCTCAATAAGCTCCATGGGTTCTTTCCCCTTTTTTTACAAATTAATCTTCAACACGTCGTTTTACATTCACGTAGTGTTTCAACAAGCTCAAGGGGTTTCTTCCACTTTTTTCTGATCTATCCTATTAGTTAGTTTTTACCAAACATGACTAGTTTATCAGCTAAACTAATTTTTTAGCTAACAACCAGCTTAAATCTAGTTTGCCAAACACGGCCTTTGTGCAAATTTTTGACATTCTTTCGGGGTCTCTTACGACCCCAAATTTCTTCCTTTTTTGCAAAACCTTTTCCACAACATTTTTTGCAAGCCAAGGGTCTTCATGGGAAAACCTCTCCACTCCTCGGGGCAGAGGAAAAGTTTGTGGCATCTTACCTTTCCCATATCCTACTCTATGTGGGATTTACTTGGTTTGGTTTTAACTGGTGTGTGTGGTTGCATGTTCAAGTATTGTTCCCCTACCTAAGACACAAAAGAGGAGAGAATGAACCACAAGGGTGGTGCCTGATTGGTTTGAGCTTGGCTCCAAAGGTCAAAAGTACCAGGAGGTCCCAGGTTCAAATCCAAGGAGGAATAAAAATCTTCTTGTGGCCACGGAGGTTCAAATGCGGTGACTCCAGGCTATCTGCAAAGCAGGTGGTCGCACTGGGATTAGTCGGCTCGCATAGCGGGTTGGATATCCAGGTTAATCAAAAAAAGAGAGAGGAGAGAATGTCGATATAGTCTAGAGCTAATCGATGCATACATAAATAGGAATAGCTTCGAGAAATGTATGTTCTTGAAAAATGTAAATAGTGTCGTTCTCTGTAACTAGCCGTTTACCTCTAAAACTACTATTGTGCAGGAATACTTGCATTTCTTTTGTGACCCTCCTGTTTATCATGTCTCCATCAGTTCAAATACCATCATGCTAGATGAGAATTTCGACGCAAAGGTAGAGATTTACATTCTCTTATCAATCCTACTGTATTTTCTTGTTTCGTACTTTGCAGTGCGGATTAGAGTTGCTCAAAGCAAATGCAGCATAAAAAGAATTTTTCTCGTTAACCCTTCGGTGCGTTTGGTACGCGGGACAGGACAGATTGAAAACTTGTTGTCCCATGTTTGGTGGGGCATTAGACTGGGTCTGCCCCACAAAAATAAATAGGTTGAACAAAAATCAGGAAGATGGGACAAGATTGGTAAATTACTAAACTACCCATGTTAGATTAAAATCCTAAAACCTTCTATAATTCTTTCACATGCCTACCTCACTCTCATCTGTACTGTCCTGTTCGGTGGGCAAAAAAGTCATTTTACTCGATAGTATGAAGGTCAAAAAGATCCCCCAAATCTGGTGTCCTTTTAGAAAGATGTATGGATGCAGTTTCTGAACTAATTTCTCTTTGTTCTATTAGCTCTCTGATGTTGGACTCCTTGGTTCGGGTAGTGATCAGGTTACGGCTTGGCGGACTTCAAGTTCCAACGGTAAATTATGAACGAGTGATTGACATCACGAACCATCGGTTTTTGTTGTAAACTTACCATCATTGGTTACATGTGTCTTTCAACAAAATATGATGGTAAAAAATAATTCAAAAATGAATTCATTTTTCTCCGTTTGCAGCCAATGAAGATTTCCATTTTTGTGTTTTGCAGAAACCACGGGACAGGCGTATGGAAACATAATGTATCAGCTTGGGTTGCTGATCCTTGAGCTGATCACAGGTCAATCATCAGAAAAAACGGGCGATGATTTGGTCGAATGGATCGAAGAATCTTGTTTTCCGGCATCAATGGACAACATGATCGATCCTGATCTTGGAAACGATTACGATTCTAGAGAGCTTACAGGATTGTTAGCAGTAGCAAGATTTTGCTTAAAATCTGTAGATAAACCGAATTCATTCACTCCTCAGATATATCGGTATCTTCAGAGGAAGATCAGTATCCGCAAGACTCCGATCTGAATCCATTTTTTCGGGTTTTTATTTGTATTTTGTGGGTTTTGTGAATGTGAGAGATGAATGAATGTAAAATAGAAGTGAATAATAGAAGCAAAATATGGCATATGGCATTTGTAAATTCTTTGTTAGAAAATAAATGTAGTCACTTGAAAGGTGATGAATATAAGAGCCTTTTGTACCTTTGCTATTAATTTTACTTTTTATTTTTATTTAATGCTTAATATAACACTTTTTGTTTGATATTTTTTTGGGAAAAGTTCAAAATAGTTCGACAAATTTTATCATTTTGAATGGTTTAGTTCCTACTAGAAGCGTACTCGCGCAATGCAGCGAGATACATCGTGTTTTTAATATTTCATTTTATTCTTTATCTCAGTCGATGTTATAATATGGCTTTATATGATTTTGAAAAAGCGATGATGTTTTTATTTTTGAATAAAATATATGTTTGACGATATCATAAAAATTTGACAAAAATATATCAATATTAGTATCAAATTAACTATTTGAAATTCCTCATTTTTTTG